CGATGCTGGGAGATACTTTGTCTACCTACAGACATGGAAAAGAAAGTAGCGAGCCACTGTGACCAGGGTAACCAAGAACAATAAATGCAAGAGAACTGGAGATTCATGGTGTCTTGGTTTTGTTTTATATTTAAGGAAACTCTATTCCTGGAGTAAGTAAAATATACAGGAACAAGTATACAAATAGAAAATAAGCAGACTGGATCATAGCAAATTTAAATTTCAGTTCTCTGGGTTCCATCTTTCCATTCTGGAAATGGAAAGGGCAGTGCAACCCCTTAACACTGTTTTACCTCAGTTGTGTGGTCTGGGCCTCAGGAATGAATTCTTTTGGATATTGTTTTGATTTAAATAGAGAATAGGCACCCACCTGTGGCTTTACTCCAGCTACAGGATTTCCATGGGCTGAAGCTCTGAGTAAGGGATTGAGCTTCTCCTATCATATCAGCCATCTGACTTAATAAGGCAGAATTTCTTGCCCTTATAAAATATTTTGCTGTTTGTTGTTGTTGTTAAGTGCCATCAAGTCGAGTACAACTCACAGTGACCCTGTGAACAAAGGATCTGAATCCTGTTCTATAATAATTGTGGTTTCTCTAATGTTCATAGGGTTTCCAAAGGCCTGTTGTTTAAGAAGTGGATGCTAGTTGTTATCAGTTTGTTGCTGTCAATTTAATCCTGCTGCATGGCAGCCTACCTTGCACTGTGCTCTTTCAATGACTGAAAGAGTATAGAATCCTTGCTCTCTATCAGGTTTCCATGGACTGGAGAAAAGTATTGAGGGTACCATGGACTGCTAGGAAAACAAACAGATTGATCCTGGAAAGGGTCAAACTGGAGGCAAGGATTCTGAGGCTCCGTCAAACATCCTTTGGACATGTTGTAAGGAGAGACCCGTCCTTGGAGAAGGACATCATGCTTGGGAAGGTGTAGAGACAGCGCAGGAGGGGAAGGCCCTCTATGAGGTGGATTGATTCAGTGACTGGGATAATTGGGATGGGAGTGTCTGAGACAGTGCGATTGGCACAAGACAGCAGAGTTTAGGGCTGTTGTACATAGGGTTGCTATGAGTCACAAGCAACTTGACAGCACATAACAAAAACAACAACAACAATTTATAGGGAATTGGATTATCATGCCTTTCTACCTAGTAGTCTACTCCGTCTAGAATCTCTACTAGGACCTGTTCCCAATTATAGCAAACTCAGGCCTCCACAGGCCAGGAGGAGCTGTGCTCAGCCAGGATTTGAGCTCAAGTCTTCCCCATCCAAGATGAGAACGGGACCTCTGGGCCACCACTGCCCCGTTGAGCATCATGTTGGAGCTGCTGCTGTGACTGGCGGGCATTGTGCATAGGCTCAAATGTCTGTAAAGCACAGACTGAAACTCTGCCTGCTCTTGTCCCAGAGCCCAAGTCCTTAGCCTACTTTTTATAGCTATCGGGTCAATCCATCTCCCTGAAGGCTGCCTCTGTTCTGCTGACTTTTCTTATCTAAATAGAAAATATCCTTTCCTACTTTTCCAAGTATGATGGTCTTCTTCGGAGATTCTGTCCTTCTGATTGTTGTCACTGTTAATGTACCATCGAGTTAGAGCCAACTCCTAGCTGAACCTCTGCCAGCAGGTTTTCAGAGGCTGTAAATTACATGGGAGGAGCTTGCCCATCTTTCTCCCACGGAGCGGCTGGTGGATTCGAACCATGTGTCTTTGAATAGGCAGTGCGACCCCTTACCACTAAGTCACCAGATCAAACACATATGACACAGTCTCACCACCCTGGCTGCATTTCTTCCAGTGTCAAGGAAACAAACTACAATTGACAAACGGTCTGTAGTTGATCGTGAGGGGCCCTCAATGGGAATCAAATTCAGGGTTTCCTAAAAGGAAGAAGAGAATTCTACCCCCGAACCACCACTGTCCTCTTACCAATAAAGTTGGGCAATTTCCCCCCACCCCCACCTTCCTAAACCATAGATTACAAATCACAGTTCTAGGAATCCTTTGGAGGGAAGATGCAGAGAAAACTCACAAAAGCAGCACAAAAGCTTTGCTCCCCAAGCAGGGCTTGGAGAAGGATTATGCAAATGACATCCATTTAGCAGAGCCTCTGAGGAATGGCTGTCCCAGGTGGTGCCACTCACCCCAGGTTTGGGACAAACCCTTGGAGTCTTCTAAAAATACAAGAAGTTTATGAGGCAAGCTGTCGAGCAGTATGAGCCTAGAGGATAAATAGGCCCACTGTGATTCTCCCTTACTCTCTTACCTAAAGCCGCATCTGCCAGAAACAAAATTCTGAGATGCAAGACCCAGAAACATACACATTTTTATCTCCTCCTTCTGTTTTTCTCTTCCTCACCCTTGCCTAAACTCCAGCACTCATTCCAAGACCTCACTGGCCTTTGCTGCCTCCAAGCTGTCTATTTTTTATAGAGCAGACATTGTAAGCACCAAGATGTGGGCTGAAAACATAACTTGGCCCATATTTTCTTTTCCAAATGCCTAGGCTTGGAACCTCCCGGCTGCACTAAAATTTTCTAGTGGAAACAAATTTAAGGATGATGTCAAAAGAGCTCCATTTACTGAACAATGATGGAAGACTCGGCCAAGTTCACATCCATGGGTCACACTGCATTCAAGCTCATTCAATGCACCTAGACTCAGTTTTGCTAAATATTAACAAGTAAAGGAGAAGAGATGAATCCTCTTCTTAGGCTTATGCTAGGCTTTGGAACTTCTCCCTACACAGCTTAGGCAGTGAAAAAGTTCCACTTTAGATTGAGACTGATTTGGTGAGTATCAAGATCACTGCTGGTGGCATAAGTCTGCAGGGAGTTATTCTGTTGACCTAAAGGCAGTCCCTCTTTGGTTCAAATCGACCAATGGCAATCTCCTCTCATGTCATGTACAGCCTCCTGAAAATCCACTGGAGGATCGTCTGTGACTCAGTTCAAACACCACAGGAAAATGTTTGAGTTGGCTTTTTGTTTGGATGGAGTTTTTTCAAAAGATAATCCCTTACAAAGATTGAATACTCATATGAAAAAAACAAAACAAAACCCAAAACAACAAAACACAACAACAACAATAAAAAACCCCACCCTAAAATTACACTGGCTAGTACTGAAAGTGCATGGACAGGATGAGCAAATATAACTGTAAAGAAGTAAGGTGATAATGTCTAACTCAGCCAATAACATTTGCTCAATAAATAACCTCATTATTATTGTTAGTTGCTGTGTTTTTGTGTATCATCCATCCGAAACGGACTCCAGCAGTAAATCCAATACATCTCATGGGAGGAGATTATGCATCTTTCTCCTGCGGAGCAGCTGGTGGATTTGAACTGCATGCCTTTGGGATTGCAGTACAGCTTCTTACCACTAGGCCACCAGAACACCTAGTCAACACCAATTCATGGCAACTCCACGATTTTCAAGGCCCTGACCCAGATAACCAAGCGTGTCTTCTGGATAGGTCAGAGTCACCAACAATTCTACTTGGATTCCAATACTTAATCTATGTGCACCCAGGGACTCAAATAACCTATGGAGTGTATTTCGCCTCTCTAAGGCTGGGTTTCTTGATGTGTAAAACAAGGACAATAACATACACATCTGTGATTGAATATGTATGTATACACACATGTATATCTGTGTTTATGTGTGTGTTGTTATGTGCCATCAAGTTGGAGTCAACTCACAGCAGACACCCTCCCCCCCCCCCCGCCCCAGTGTGTTTTCAGAGGCTGTAAACGGTACAAGAGGAAACTGCCCATCTTTTTCCCAAGGAGCAGCTGGTGGCTTTGCTCTGCCTGCCTTTGGGTTGTATGACAGGTTTTAGTACACATACAATACATATTTTAAGCCCAAGTCTTCCTTTTAAAACAAATCCCATTGCCATTTATTTAGTAGATTCAAACTCGCTACCCTCTCTTCAGTTTTCTGAGTCTGTAACTCTTTACAAGAGGAAACTGCCTGTCTCTATCCCTCCGAGTTGCTTGTGGATTTGAACTGAAAACCTTTAGGTTAACAGTACAATAAGTAGGTGCTTTATCACTGTATCCCATTCTCAATAATAAGGTTTATACTGATTATTTGGTGCTGTGAAGCTATCTATGACTCATAGTGAACCCCTGAACACCAGATCTGAACCCTGTCCTATCGTGTGCCATCCCCACCACCTCTGGCATACCCGAGTCCACTGTTATAATCACTGTGTCAATCCATCTTGCTGAGGGCCTTCTCTTTTGTTTACCCCTCCCAAGTACTTATGCCTATTCCAAGGAATAGCCTCTCCTAACAACATGCCCAAAGTATATGAGATGAACTTTCACTGTTATTTCCTCTCAGAAGCACCTTGGTTTCACTTTCTCTAAGACATATGTTTGTTCTTTTGGAAGTCCATTGGATAGTCAGTGCTCTTCTCTAACACCATAGCTCAAAGTCATCAATTCTTCTTCTGTCATCCTTAGTCTCTGTCCAACTTTCAGATGCATGACAAGTCACTGAAAAGATCATGGTTTGGATCAGGCACACCTTAGTCTTTAACGTAACATCTTAACTCTTTAACACTTTAGAGCTGTCACAGACAGCAGACTTTCCCAATGCCATACATACATCTTTTGATTTCTTGACGTGAAGGGTGGTGTTGTGGATCCAAGTAAGATGAACTTGTTGACAATTTCAATCTTTTCTCCACCCATCATGATGTTATGGTAGGAGAAATGTGACATCAGGGTTGGAAGAAGACTCATCAACAACCTGCGTATGCAGATGATACAACCTTGCTTGCTGAAACTGAGGAGGACCTAAAATATCTGTGCAGAAGGACAATGACTGCAGCCTTCAATATGGATTGAAGCTCAACAACAAGTAAGAAAGCAAATATTCTCACCACTAGGCCAGTTGGCAGAAATCATGATAGGTGGATTGAGATTTTTTTTTTTTTCAATCCCCAAGGCGTTTTATTGGGCAGACCGGGATGAGGCAGAGGGGCTGTGCCTAGAAGAAGGTGTTTGGCCACTTGGTGGTGAACCGTGGCTTGTGCTGGCAACGTAGGACCCGGTGAGGCAGTGGGAACTTAATCCTGGTGTCACGGAACTGCTTGACTGCAGGTCGGTGGCACTTGTTGGCTGCGATCTCCTCCACCTTCATGATCTGGATGGAGTGGGCCCAGGCACGATGCTGAGCGCCCATGTCACGGTAGTACTGGGTGACAGCACCTGCAGTGGTCAGATCCTGGTATCCCCGGTACATGTTGGGAGTCCCACTGCGGGAGTCATAGTGCAGCCAGATGCCAAAGCTCTTCACACGCAAGGGGGACTTCTCGAACACTTGTCCACAGTATACAATTTCCCCAGAAGACTTCTTCATCTTCTTCAGCTGTGACACAAAGTGCCAGAAGCGGGACTTGGCAACGACATGGTTGGGGGCGAAGATGTGCATGCAGTAAAGTGGTGGAGTCCAACACTTGGGGGTGGGCAGGCAGCGCCCCACCACCTTGTACTCATGAAGTGTTCCCGAAGCCTTCATAGTGATCTCTCGGCGATCGCCACGACCCGCAAAAGGCGAAATTGAGATTTTTAACAGCTTTAGTTTGCTTGGCTCCACATCAGATTTATGCCTTTGAGCTGTGGTGCCAGAGAAGAGTACAGAATATGCCATGGACCACTAGGAGAACAAATGGGTTCGTCATGGAAAGAGTGAGACCAGGTTGCTCCTTGGAGGCAAGGATTCTGAAGCTTCATCTGACATACTGTTGTACATAGGGACACTATGAGTCACAGGGAACTCACCTGGTACTGAACAAGAATGACATCATGATGTTGCATAATAGTCCAACGGTGAGGATTTTTATTTTCTTAATCCTATCTCCATATCTTTTCAATGTATATGTGGTCCAGGAGGCTAGGCTCTATGAGGAGAACGTGGCATCAGGATTGAAAGTAGACTCATCAACAATCTGCGTTATGCAGATGACACAACCCTGCTGCTAAAACTGAGGAGGACATAAAGCACTTGCTGCAGAAGGTCAAGGACTGCCGCCTTCAATACGGATGGAAGCTCAACATCAAGAAAACAAAGAGTCTCACCACTGGTCTGATTGGTAGCATCATGATGGATGGCTCTACAGTCAACACTCTTGGTACCAGCAGCCAGGAAATTGAAAGACAAATTGCACTGGGAAAATCTGCTATCAAGAGACCTCTCCAAAGTACTGAAGAGCAACGATGCCAGTCTGAAGACTAAGGTGCACCTGGTCCAGGCCATGATCTTTACAATTACATGCTATTCATCAGGGAGCTGGACAATGACTAGGAATGACAGAAGGAGAGTTGATGCCTTTGAGCTTTGGTGCTAGAGAAGAGTATTGAATATACCATGGACTGTCAGGAGAACAAACAAGTTCATCCTGGAGAGGCTGCTCCTTGGAGGCAAAGATTCTGAAGCTCCGTCTGACATATTTTCAACATGTTGCAAGGTGATATCAGTCCTTGGAGAGGGCTGTCATGCTTGGGAGGGTGGAGGGACAATGCAGGAGAGGAAGACCCACAATGAGATGGATTGACACAGTCACTGGGGTAATGGGGATAGGAGTGTCAGAGACAATAAGATTGCCACAGCACAGGGCAGGGTTTAGGGCTGTTGTACATAGGGTCACTATGAGTCGCAGGCAACTCGATGGCACATTGCCACAATAATGAAGTCTGTAGTCTTTGATCTTGACTTATGATAGGGTACCTTTCCAGTTTTTTCAGAAACTGCCTTCTGCCCAGTGATTCTTACAACAATAGCATCTAGTTTCACTTAGGAATGAAGAAATCAATTCAGAAGGAAATTCAGCAAGTCAGTGGTAGAGCTCAGCTCGAAGTTATACATAACTGCCACATCCTGCGTCCGTCCTCCTCATTCAAGACAATCCCATCTGCAAGGACTGGGAGCAGCTTGGCAAAGGGCCTGTCAGGGACTGAGTGACTGCCAGTTCAGGCCCTCAGGATACTTGGTGATTTATAACAGCAGGTCTTAGACATTTAGAAAGAGCAGCTAATGCAGATTCCAGGGCAGACAAAATGGTTGTTATTGTTGTTAGGTGTCTTTGAGTTGAGTATGTCTCTTAGTGACCTGATGATGAAGCTTTGTCTTGCATACTTTGGGTAGGTTTCTAGGAAAAGCTTTTTCCTTGGAGAAGGGCATTATTCTTGGGAAGGACAGAAGAGAGGACGGCAAAAGAGAGGAAAACCCTCAGCCAGGCAGATCGACACAGTGACTATAGCGATGGGCTTGAGTGTGTCAGAGAAAAGACTGGGCTGGTTAAAATATTCTTTGGATTGACGCTCCATGGCTGAACATCGGGTGAGTGAGGCCTCATGGTGAGAACAAGAGGAAGACGAGATGATTTGGATTTAATAAAGCAGACAATTAAATAGGCCTTTCTCCACAAAAGGCAAATTTAGCTAGTAATTGTATCCCCCACTGCTCTTCACACCAACATTAATAACAACAACAATACCTCCCATTGACTGAATGTCTCACTAGTCTTACAGAAAATGGCATTGATTTCTCTAATCACAGATTCTCCTTTTCTAACACAATCTCGGGAGCCTGAGTTCTCAGGCCGGGTACAATGGCGAACAGGCTAACGAAATGCACAGTGCCGTCTCCTCGTCTGTCTGTCATACCGTGGTGCCTTGCATACTCCTAAAATGTTTGATGCTATGCAATCAATATTTCAAATATTCGCAGGGCTGCCCATGGTGGATAGGTTTTAATAGAACATTCAGTCTAAGACTAGGAAGAAAGGTCTGGTGATCTACTTCTGAAATGCAGCCAATGAAAACCTTGTGGTTCATAACAAAATTGTCTGATGTGGTGCTGGATGCCTTCCCTAGGTGGAAAGGCGCTCAGAATACACATGGCTGCATCAATCGACTTGAGCATGAAGATGATGCAAGACAGGCAAAACGCTCTTCTTTCCTTGATGGGTTGAAAACCATGAGTTGAAATCTATTCAAGAGAGTTGAAGAGCAGTTCTGCTGCTCAGTGGAATAGCCAGTGAGATTCCCCTTCTCTCAGTAAAATCAGACCGGACGTTCACTTCTTAAACTTCGGATGGCAGCATAGACTAAGTGGCTTCTTAAGAGATAACTTCATACCCTTGACCCAGCACCTGGAAGGTCTGTGGAGCAGAACCCATGTTCTGATTCTGGGGAAATCTACGTCCCACTCCCTAAGGGTGGCCCCACACAGCCCAGGAAGATGAACACTTAACTCTTCAACCAAGTAGTGCTCCTTGTCGCCACTGGTTTCTACAGGAGCTCGTTAAGATTAATTAGGGAATGTTCATAAAGTACAGGCAGCAGCATGGAATTGCCCTTGCAAGGGCTAAGGTAGAGCTTTGCTTTCCCCAACACAGGGATTTCTGTGCTGCTTTGACATCTCATAATTAGAGACTGTTTCCAAACTATCTTTGAAAGACATTCCATGCACCATGGTTTCTCCTTGTTGTGAGGCCTCTTGGAGCATGATATGGTTTATGCTTCCCTCTTCTCAGAGGCAGGCAATCCTAAAGACAGGGTGGACTGGGAGGAAACAAATGGCTGTGTGTCTGAAGAAGGGTAGACTGAGGCAAGACTCAAACCTTGGACAGACTCAACATTTGGTGGGATTACTCAGGACTTCTGGGCAGGGGGTGAGGCCTTTCCTAAGAACAACAGAAGGTGTAGAACTGCGTCCCTTGGATGGGGGAAAGAAGATGGTCCATTCTTGAGCAGACCTCTGCAGCACATGGTTTATAGGCATATTAAGTCAGGAAAGTACTTTATCTCTGTATAGTTCATTTTCTCCGTGTGTTAAACATCAGTGGGACTTATCCTATAGGATGGTTCTAATGATGAAATGAAATCATTCACATAAAGCATTTGGCCTGTTTTCTGGTAACCTTGAGTGTATGCTATCAAGCAAGCTGCAGTAATACTTGTGGTGGCTCTTGTAGCGTTGTTCTCTCTTCATAAGTCTCTGCAAGAGGCATTCTCTAGGTGCAGATAATACAACTGGATAATATAAGGGATGAAATTTTTTACTCGTATCCCTGTGAGTTCTCAGGCCAGGTTCAAATTGTTTTCCTGTCAAACATTCTTCTAGGTGGTATAGCACTGGTCTGTGCATTGCTGTACAGAGGTAACTCATGGTTGCTGTGAGGCTGAACACTATGACACTGGTGTGCCAAACGTGGTAATGGGTATCCATGGTAGACAGTGTTTGCTGGAGCTCCCCGACTAAAAGCGTGGAAGCAGGAGTGGCATCCGCTTCCAAAATGTCTTGCCTCCGGAAACTCTATGAACAGTGCTCAAGCCTTTTGTTAGTTTATAGGGTCACTATGAGTCGTCAACAACTTAACAGCACCGAACAACAACAACAACAACCATGTAAGTTGTCATTGTTAGCTGCCCTAGAGTCCATCAGCTAGTCCTGGTGGCCCCATACACAGTGGACAGCACTGGGCCAGCCCCCTGACTGGTTGGGGAGAAGACGACTGTGGTAGCAAGTGAACCATGGGCTCTCTCATACTATTCTCCAAGCATCCCTTTCTGTAGTATCAGTTTCCACTGAGGGAACCCTGTTGCCATAGAATTCATTCTGACACTTGATAATAATACAAAACCAAATCTGTAATAATACAATACTTGATAATACTTGATACAAATCTGTAATAATACAATACTTGATAATAATACAAAACTGATCTGTAGAATTTTAACTGGCTAGATTTTTGGTAGTAAATAACAAGGCCTTTCTTACTAGCCTGTCTTAGTCTGGAAGCTCCACTGAAACTTTCCCAGCATCACAGCAACAGGTTAACCTCCACTAATAGGTGATGGCTGTCCTTGGGGTGAATTGCCCAGGAACTGAACTCCTACCTCATGCAGGTGAGACCAGAACTCTACCTTTGGATAATCCATGTGTGGGGTGGTTGTACTTGGTGGTGAGAGGCTATGTACATAGAGGCTTGCTGAGGAAGTAAAATTCAAGTGTTTTTCAATGTAGAACAATTTCGAGGAAAAAGAAATCTTTTCTGGTTTTAGTAGTTCTAAAACACTCTTGGGCACCAGCAGTCAGGAAATCAAAAGACGAATTATCCTGGGGGAAATCTGTGGTCAGGGACCTCTCCAGAGTACTGAAAAGCAACGGTGTCAGTCTAGAGACTAAGGTGTGCTTGATCCAGGCCCTGGTCTTCACAATTACTTTCTATGCATCAGAGAGCTGGACAATGACTAAGGAAGATAGAAGACGACTTAATGCTTTTGAGTTGTGGTTCTGGAAGACAGTCTTAAACATACCATGGACTGCCAAGAAAACAAGTAAGTCTGTCTTGGAGAGGGTAAAACCAATTTTCTCCTTAGAGGGTAGGATTTTGAAGCTCAGTCTCACATACTTTGGGCACAGGGCCAGGAGGGATCAGTTCTTGGATAAAGATATCATGCTTGGAAGAGTGGAGGGACAGCACAAGAGAGGACGACCCTGGATGAGATGAA